TTATATCTTTTCCTCAACTGCAAATTCCCAGTATGTATATACCCATGAATTTGATTTATTTCTCTTTATTCCAAGATAGTTGTGGGTGTCAGAATTTGCTCAATGCCTTTAAATGCCAGTTTGCTAGATTTTAAATGCTGGGTGACTTCTACCTACCATGACCCAGTGTATTTTATTTCCCTGAGGAGAAATCTGCCTTTTGTGGTTGGTTGTCTTCTCTTCATGATGTATAGCTCTGAGGAATGACTAAGGTTTGGTTTCAGTTCCATCCTTGTGGTTCCACGTGATAACATGGCTGGTTTGCCTTTGCTGTCTTTCTGGCCACTCAGAATCCAGAGTTCATCAAAGTTGCCTGGAAAACAGGTTTTTTTTTTTTTTTTTCATTGCCACATTCTTTGTATAGAATTTGAACTGATCAGATCAATAGGATTGATGCTTATCCCCTTGGCTGTAATTAAACAGAGTGCTCTCAGTAGGTTTTCTGAGCCTTGTACATGATTTAATTAAATTAGACCTCTAATGTCAGCAGATTGGGCTACTTGGCAGAGCAGTAACTAAGGAACAACAGGCAGACAATTTTTATTATTGGTCCTAGCTCATTATTAAATGAGATAATCATTTATTTCTGCATGCTCTGTAATAGAACCACTCATTTCCTCATGCATAAAGAAGTGAGTTTAATTTAGGCAAAGTAAAATTAATTACTCTAGAAAGGGAAGCACTTGGCTCTTCTTTCATTTATGCATTCTGTAAACATGACTGGCCGTCCGCTCTGTGCCGGGCAGAGGGAATACACTGATGAACGGGATACAGAGGGAGATACTCATGCGGAAGCAGTCTTATGGGTACATGACTGGCCGTCCGCTCTGTGCCGGGCAGAGGGAATACACTGATGGCCGGGATACAGAGGGAGATACTCATGCGGAAGCAGTCTTATGGGTGTGAGGCCCAGCCCAGTCCTCCTTGGCCCTCCTGGGCGCACACAGGTGTGGCCCTCGTCCCGTGAGCTTGCCTCCTGTGGTCATGTCCTCAGCATCCTCTGTGTGAGCCCCAGAGCCACTCCTAGAGCCATTAGTTCTGGACCCACCGGTGCCTGTTTCTGACTACCGCACACTGCTTCTGAACACCCAATGACTCCACCTTCCGTATTCACCCAAGCTACCTCCAAGGGCACTTGGCAATCAGTGTTCATGCTTAAAGGGGCTAGAGAGAGAGGAGTTTGAATTAAATGAAAAAGCCTCCTGAGAAAGATTAATGACCTTAAAGGTTGACCATGTGTTTTATTATATCCTTCTTTCTAATAATTAATTCATGTATAATATATACTTGTTATTAGGCTGCCCACCCCTACTGGGAGATAAGATGCAGAGCGTCAGATAAGATGCTGAGGTGTCCAGGGCCTGGTCTGCCTCTGAAACAGCCATTCACTGCATCTGATTTACCTCCCATTGCAGGCTACCAGGGGCTTCCCTGGTGGCTCAGTCGGTAAAAAATTCGCCTGCAATGCAGGAGACCTGGGTTCGATCCCTGGGTTGGGAAGATCCCCTGGCAGAGGGCATGGCAACCCACTCCAGTATTCTGGCCTGGAGAATCCCCATAAACAGAGGACCCTGGCAGGCTACAGTCCATGGGATCGCAAAGAGTTGGACACGCAGGACTGCAAAAGAGTACTACTTCATGTTTACTGTGAACTTTATTTATATTACAGTGAATGTAGATCAATTTCATAATAGTTATGGGGGCAGGGGGTGAGGACCTACCTAGATCAAAGGGTACTTGAACACTTTTACAGTGCTGTAGTTTATTTTTCTAACATGTATTCTTACAGTTAAGTGTTGTTTAATATATAGAAGTAGATACATGGAAGTAGAAGGGGAGCTAATATGCTAAAATATTAAGTGGCCAAGTCTAGGCCGTGAAGAGAGTCATATATTTTCTTTCTACTTTTCATTAATTTTCAAGTTGAAGAAACAGAAAGTAAAATATGAATTATGGAATGTGATCTACATCTCCCAGCCTTAATAACTTGATATCCACACAGAAGCAGTTATTCTCTTTTGTCCTTGATGGAAATTTGTTCATATCTTACCTTTTCTATTTCCTCTTAGGAGTTTCTTTATATGAGGAAGAAGATGCCGATATTCGCTAAGTTCAAATTCATAAAATATTTATTAAAGAAAAAAACAAAACAGCAACCCTGAGCTGAGAGGAGGGCAATCTGGTCCAGTCTTCTTCCGCCTCAGTTTGGGGGTCCTAGCTGGCTCTTCTTCTGTGTGACTGGATAGTCTAGGATACACAGTGCTAACAAACTAGCCTTCCAAATGAGAAGCTTGTTTCCTGCCTGCACTGCATATCCAGTGCAGGTCTGAGGCTGAGCACGCAGCTCTGCTCCATGTGTTCCCTCGGGAACCCAGGGTGATGATAGCCTGTTCCCTAAAACATCGCTTGAACAGACTCCTCCTCATCTGAATGCTCTGTTCACAGCCCATGGACCAGAACTAGACAGATGCTCCATCTCACTGGAGAGGGGCTGAGAAATAGGAAGGAGCAGTGTGTTGAGCAGTAAATGTTCCAGGTGATTGATTTGCTCTGAGTGTGATACCAGGTAGACTTGGACGGGAATGCAGGTGCCAGAGAATCAGGCAGTTTCACGCATCCATCCTGGGGTGGCTTGGAACATGTGTAACGGCATCATTGGGAAACTCTTCCAAAGGATAGATGCTCAGGCCCTTCCGTGAGCTATGAATCAATGAACGGGC